ACAATATATACAATTATCCAGATATGACTTTAAAGGCATCTCTTATTTCTTGTGTTGGTTTGGGTATATATGTAGTATATGCGGATGACTTCCAACGTCCCAATGACTTGATGACGTGTACTGGTACGTTAGCGCTGGATGCGGAGAAGGCTGCTCCTATGCGAAACGAGTGACCAGAGTAGTGAGAAGGTTTAAGACCCAGCATTGTTAGCAGGGATCGTATATAGCTCATGAATGCAGAGGTGGTGAGTATTGTGTGTTGTAGTTTGAATAAAGGTTGTGATGTAGCGCTGTGGTGTTCAGAAGATAGGCATCTAAGGCTGCTACTGGACACCACTTGTTTAGGGTAGGGTAATATGTGATCTCAACTGGATGCGCATGTTGGCTTGTCTTTGACTGGGGTAAAGAGAGTATGTAGTGGTCGCTATGTTTTTGTAGGTGCTTGTGTAGCAGGCGTCTATCCTTTTGAGTAGCCGTGACCGTGGTGAACTCCCTTGGCCTGAGGAACCCATAGAAGGCTGTGTGCATAGCCATTTTAATGACCGAATTGGCGGTGGAGTGGAAAGGTCTGGAATCTAGTAGGTCGGATAAGGACTGAAAAATGTCCTTCTCTATAGGTAATCGCTGTGGTGGTCGTGGAGGTACGGATTTTTGTATACCTCTGAGTATATTCTTTACCTGGTATGATGACATGAAGCTATGTGTGTTAGGTCTTAGGGTTAGCATGTGATGTTGTATGCCTGTAAGATATAACTTAATAGTGTTGTATGATAAGTGTAATTTGAGGTGGCAAAAGGAAGTGAACGCTATAATAGATGTCATGACGAATGGTTCTGATATGTCGTGATTGGCGAGAAATCTGTTGAATAGTGTAAAGGCTCTGTTATATGTAGTGTGAGTGTTGTGTGATAGTGCTAAATTGGCTAGATCCCTACTATGTTCCATGATTCTGTCTAGTCCATGACTAGTTGTGAGAACGGAGGGGCTACTGTGGCTGCTTGAGCGGCTGATGGGTGTGCTTGTCGGAAAGCCTGAAATTCAAAACGAGACAGTCTGTCAGCTGCTATATTACTAATACCTGGTACATGAAAGCAAACCAAGTAGAAGTTATGACATGCTGCTAACCACGTGAGTTTCCTAAGAAACCTCATGATTGTAAGGGATGAGGATCTGCCTTTGTTGATTATGTGACATGTGGCTTGATTATCTGAGTGGCAACGTACGGACAAGCCTGACCATTGGTGTCCCCATGCCACAGCTGCGGCTACAATAGGGTAAATCTCAAAGAGAGCAGAGGTTGTAAAAAAGCCTTCTAAGTCTTGCACTTCTTCCGGCCATTTACCCCAAAGCCATTTGTTACCAAAGATGGCTGAAAAACCCTTGTTGGATGCTGCATCTGACCATATGGATGGGGACATGTCTGATAATGCGGGGAGGAACAAACTTTTCCCATTCCACCTGGTCAAGAACCTCCTCCACATTAGTAGGTCTGCTGTGGCTTGTGGATTCAAGGCTAGTCTGTGGTTCTCGTGTTGGAAGTATGGAAAAAGACAAAGCAGTCTGGATATGAAAGCTCGTCCTTGAGGGATGATGCGCATGGCGAAGTTTAAGGAACCTATAAGGGACTGGAGTTCCTTGCGATTGCAGGTACCCAGGGAAATGTAGTGATTGATGCTGTTGATAATGTTGTCAATTTTGTCGTGTGGTAGGCTTGCTTGCATGGATGCAGAGTCGAGTTGTATGCCCAGGAATGTAATGATGGTGTCTGGACCTTCAGTTTTCTTGAGGGATACTGGGACGCCCAAGTGGTTAAATAGATTAATGGCTTCTTTAAGTCTACTGGGTGGAAGTGAGTTCCCTTCTATCATTAGAAAATCGTCGAGGTAATGGATGACTATGGGGCATCTTGAAATGTTTTGTAGTAACCAGCAAAGTGTTTCAGCAAAAGTGTCAAAAATTTTTGGGCTACTTTTCGACCCGAAGGTTAAGCGGGAGAAGAAATAGTATTTCCCTGCCCATTTTATACCATGTAGGTGCCATAGTGTAGGGTGGATTGGTAGCAGTTTTGAAGGCATTTGTAATGTCCGTCTTACTTAACCAAGCTCCCACACCCGTTTGTGTGATGGCTGTAATGGCGTGATCAATGGTGGCGTATTGAAGGGAAAATTCTTCGGAGGGACTGAGGGAGTTGAGACTTGGTGTGGTGGAGGTATGAGGGGCTGAAAGATCAATAATGAGTCTTTGTACGCCATGATGTAAATGGTGGGGTTGCGAACGGTCCAAACAAATACCCTTCTGCCAATTCTTGTGCTATTAGTGTATTTACTGCTGTTGGGTTCTGGTTTGCAGATTGTAAATTTGGGCATTCTAATTGGCCCGTGGGCATCTGTATGATGCCTGTGTGGAACCCGTCTTTGAATCCCGTGATCAGAAACTCTACAAGATGTCTGGAGGGGTGATTGGCTAGTAGTGCTGCTAGAACATCAATGTTAACCGACGTTCGGTATGGTTTAGGGTACATTTTATTAGGACACATAGATTTGGCATGTGCCCTGAAACTTTGTGAACAAGTATGCAACAATCTACATGCACTAAAACTACATGTGCCACCGTTAAAATTATTGCAAATCTGTGATTTTCTAAAGAAAATGATGGGACGGCCCAGTTTGTCTCTGGCGTTCTTCCCTGTTCTACCAGCATAGCTAGTGCTGGGTGCCTGACTGTGGTCGTCGGCCGTCCTAGAACAAAAATTTGTGGTGTATGTAGTAGAAGAGCAGGATACACAAGCCGGTGTTTTAAGCCCTGCAAAGTGTTTGCAGAAAATTTCTGTGTCCAATCTGCTCCAGTTGATACGGGTACCATAGTGGGAGAGAGCGCCAGACACTTTGGTGGAAAATGACCTATGGTAGTCGTAAAATGCCGACCCAACATATTTGTTACCAAGGTCCACCAGCTTGTGCATGTAACGATCAAATTCCTCTCTTCTATTAGGGTACACTTCACACATAACATCTCTGAATATACCAAAGGCTAAGACAAATTCAGGGATGGTCAGTTTACGATTCAACCTGGAGTCTTTAGATCTGACCACCACAGATACCTCATCATACATATAAGTCTTGTTCTCTACCACATCCTGGGAGGCAATTAGTAAGGATGCTAGGTTGACATCTTTGCACTCCAGGATGTCTTTCTTGACGTGGGCTGGTATGGTGTGTGCAGGATAAACGTCCTGGGAATCTGACGAGTTTACGTTACCCGTAGCCCGTGGTTCGATTGGTGCCGGTTGTACTGTGTCGGGAAGGCCTGCCTTGGTGAGGGCTGTGGTCACCGCTT